TGATTTGTGTGTCTGCTGTCTTTAGGTCAGTTTTCTGAGTTTAGTTCAGCAACATAATTTCTACCCTGTGAATGTGCAGTATTCCTGTAGATTTCCAGTCCCTCACAGAATAGAGGGAAACAAACAATAGCAACAACCAATGCAAACAATATATAGCATTAAATTAGATACCTGATTCCTACAATGACATCTACAATGTTTATGCAAAAAAGAAAAAAAAGAACTATTTGGGACAGAAATTGCCAACAGCAAAAACAATAAGTAACTATAAACTAGATCTGGCCTTAAAACAAAGCACAGGTACTGACTGTCATCCACAGTAATAATTAATAATAATAGCAACAGCATTAATGGTTCTGGCAGAGGTTATTAACCAATTAGTACTAAAAGATGGTAAAAATGCAGTTCATTAAGAGAAGATAATGTCAGGAAGTTAGAGAAGAGTTTACAATTTCAAAAAGTGGACAGAGGGAATGCAGAAGAGATGTAGCAGGTGATGGTTATAAGGAAGGAGGGGAAAACAGGAAAAACAATGTAAATTGAGAAATGGCTGTTAGCATGGGAAGAAAAGAGGGAAATACAAACAAGAGAACCAAACAAATGAAAACAAAACCAAAATAAACCAACAAAGACCCTAACCCTGAAAAGACAAGGCAAAGAAAAATAACTACATTAAAGAAAATACTGAAAATGAGGGGGGAGATATTTATATGTATATATGTTCATGAACCAATCCATACAGCGAGAATACCCAAGGGGAAAAAAAAGGAAAAAAAGATTCTTAATGAAGGCATTGTCTCCACCAAGGTGGTCAACATAGTTGAAGAGAATGGATGGTCACTGCCTATGCCCAACTTTCCTTTTTTTTTCCATTTCTTTTTAGGTCCTGGGCTGAAAGCTCTTATTCCCTTCTTTTTGTGTTGCTCATTAAGCTTCCAGTTGGAGTGACCTAAGACTGACGCTGGTTGAAATATCTCTGAGTCCCTTTTCACCAGTGTAAGGTGGGATGGAATAGGAAGTACGTCAGTGGAGTTTTGCCTAGACAGACCAGATCAATGCTCTCTCAGGGCGGGACTGCTGCAGAGTTTTATGAAGGGAATTTCAATAATTGAGGCTTAAATCTAATCAGGCCTGAGGGACTTTATTGGATTGTATCTGCTCTGGTGAGATTAGCTCAACAGACCCCTAGGGCCTGGCAGTTACTGATCTCTATCAGGAGTCTGGCTCCAAGGAGCTTCCCAAGAATTCTACTTCATGGGGCAGAAGACCATCCTCCACACAGTCTGAATGTTGCACATGGACACAGCCTTCCCACGTACTCACACCCATGTTCAGATTCCCACCCACTTCTGCTGGACACATGAGCCACCAGACTCAAAGGGAAACTGAGTTACACTCCCTACATATTTCTGACTGGAATCTCCTGGGTACTTCTCTGTGCATGCTTTGTTTACATTCTGCTAGGTATACCCTAGGCTACATGGTAGATGCTTGCCAGGGTAGTATGACAATGTTTGCTATGATCTCCTGGCTCTGCAGCAGCAGCCAAAGCATGGCCTCCTCCGGATGGCTCCTACCTCTGCTCTCTGCTGGTCAGTTGAGAAGCACTTTCCATTCCGCAGCACAGCCTCTGGGTCAGCTAAGTCCAGGCTGATTTTCTGATATTTTTCTGCGCCATATTCTGGTCTCAGGTTTTTCCTGACCAAATCTGTCTGCTGCATTCCTCTCTGTGTTATCCCTCCCCTCTGTGGTGAATCTGCACGACTACCACCTCCCCTGCCGCAGCCAGCTTGGATCATGTGTACTCTTCTTTCTTTGTTCAACGTACCCAAATTTCTAAGTCTCTAAGACATTCTGACTATTCAACATTGAATTTTTAGTGAAATTCCTCTTCAACCACCTCACTGAGAAGCAGTACCCCCACTGCTTGAATCTTGAGCCACGGAGCACCTAGGAATGCAGCCTTCCTCTAATCCACCACCTTGAATCTCCTGCCAGGATGTTCTTACCAACTTCTGGCCTAGAGCTATGAGGTATGCCATCTTGGACTCTGAAACCGGAAGACCCAAATAAACTTTTCTTCATCGATGTTGTCCTTGTCTGGTCTTTTGTCACATCAATAAAAAGCTACTGAAACAGTTACAAAAATGCCATTTTAGATTTACCTTGGTGAAAAATCCCTTGTCACATAATACATGACTGCTTAGGATTGCCAAATGCTTTATTTCTAATGTCAATATTTACCAGAATTGACCCAAGTTAAGTTTCACTTATGTTGTCAGTTTAAGCAAGGATAACACTATTTATTTGTATTCTTTATTTGTTCTTATTATTTATACATGATAGAAGAATGTATTTTTACATATTATACACATATGGAATATAACTTCTCATTCTTCTGGTTGTATATGATGCTATATTACATTGGTAGAGTGATCATACATGCACATAGGATAGTAATATCCAATTCATTCTACTATCTCTCCTACTCTCATTCTCCCTCCCTTCCTTTAATTCCTGTTTGTCTAATCCAAAGTACTTCTGTTCTTCCCTAGTCCCCACCCTTATTGTGAGTTATCATCTGCATATCAGAGAAAACATTCAGCCTTTGGTTTTTTGGAACTGGCTTATTTTGCTTAACATGATATTCTCCAGCTCCATCCATTTACTGGCAAATGTCATAATTTCATTGTTCTTTATGGCTGAGTAATATTCCATGTGCATATATACAACATTTCTTTATCCATTCATCTGTTGAAAGGCACCTAAGTTTGTTCCATGGTTTAGATATTGTGGTTTAAATATTGATGGGGCTGTACACTGTAGTTTGTTGAATTTAAGTCCTTTGGGATATACCAAAGAGTGGGATAATAGGGTCAAATGGTGGTTCCATTCCAGGTTTTCTGAGGAACCTCCATACTGCTTTCCAGAATGGTTTCACCAATTTTCAGTCCCACAAGCAATGTATGGATGTGCCTCCCTCCCCCCCACATCCTCACCAACATTTATTTTTGCTTTTATTCATGATAATTTTCCAGTCTGACTAGAGTGAGCAGGAATCTCAGTGTAGTTTTAATTTGCATTGGATAAGACTATTTTTAAGGCCTCCTTGAAGATACATTTTGTCTGCTCAAGGATTTTTCAGGCCTGGTGTGTATTTTAATTTGGCTGTAACAGCCCCTATCAGGTCACCATTGTGTCCCAATTTACATAAGGACATCAATAATAAAATGATTGCATTTCCAGATGACAGGAAGGTAGAAAGGCACTAAAGCATTAGGTGGACTAATCTGGCTAGAACAGTGTTTGATTCCATCTAAGGGTCTAAGTCCAGTTTTCTTACCTGGAAGCTGGAGCAGAGATTTAACTTCTCTTAGCACACAGGTCTCCCTGCCCCCTGCAGTTTATGTCTCCACCCTGAGCAATTTCCCACACCTTTCCCCAAAACACTCATCTTTCTCCCTAAAGTCCCAAGAGTCCCTGCAAACCCCTACCTACCCTTTATAGCACTTCAAGGGTGGCACTTTCTGTTGGCACCCTTCCTTGTCCATGAGGGGATGACCTCATCCCCAGTGCCCAAAAACCATGCTCAGACCTAGGTTGTCACCTCTATCACATTGTAATAAAATTCAGTGTTTATTTATTCTCCAGTGCTTCTCAGAGGACCAAGAAAAACTGTGTTTCACTTATAAAATTATGCATCATGACATCTATACTTTCATATATATATAATCTTCTTCTTAATACCAAAAGATGAAATGGTTAACTGACAATTGAGAGCTCACCATTTTGTAGACTATTGTACTGTTATCAGCGCCCTGCCAGGGTAGTTTTCTGTTCAGAAGGTGTGATCTGCCTGAGAAAATAAAAAGTCTGAAATAATTAGTAAGAAATAAGAGACAGAGACAGAAATTAGATAAAAGGGGACTGCCTGATTTCCGGTCCTGATAGGAGATGGAACTGAACACGGCTCCCATTCTTTATTTAAGGGGTAGTACATCAAAGGCAGGGATAAGGTTTCAGCGGGAGGGGTCTCACTTCTCCGCATGACAGGGGTCTTGCAGCAAACAGGTTGATTGGCATCTAGGAAAGCCACACCCATCTCCCAGAGGCGGTGTGGCTCCCGTGGGTCACCCCATCTCTGAGCTGTGCTGAACTTCTGATGGATCTAGGTAGGAAGTCATGTGAATCAGGCATCTCAAACCAATAGAGTTGCTGCTGGGAGTCTCCAGGATACCAGACTTTCACTAATGGCTTCCGCGTTATTTTGGTTCACCCACAGTTCACGGATGGCTGTCGGCAGTAGAAAACGCACAGACTGAAAAGAATGCAAGAATACTAAGTGCTGCATTGGAATCCTTTATCACACCAAATTCATTCTGGGGCAAATTGAACAGAATAGTTTTCTTCTATTTTAAGGTAATTCAATTTTTCAAAAAGTAAAAATAATATTCAGGGCAAGACTTCACACCACAAAGAGGGAATCCTACAAAAGAAGAATGCAGGAGAGGACTTCAAATATCTATAACAAATTATTTCCATTATCCACAAAATTAAATTTAAAAGAAAAAAAAAACAGTTTACTCCAGAGGGAGATGAGAAGATGGAGAACAAGGGTGTTAACAAACTGCCAAGAAGACTAAAAATGAAAGGGGAACTTGGGCTTCTTTTGTGCAAACAGCTTTTCCTGGCATGTTTCTGTGATTTTGGTTCTTGGCCTAGCTTTATGCAGAGTTATCAAATCTCCGGTCATTCTTCACCCAGGAAATATTCCTGAACAGCACATCCCAGATCAACAGGGAAAGCTCTGGTGGCACACGATGCCTTAGATCTATTACAACAGTAGCAACTAAAGCTGTATCCTTGACTACCAATTGGTCCACCAAGTAATGAAAGAGGAAGGCTGCTTGCACAAGGGGGCCATGAACCCCTCTGTGGGTTTCTGCATAGTCAAGACGTCAGAACCCACCTGACTCTGGCAGCCCCACCCATAGGGGCTACTATATATCTACAAACCCAAATAGGAGCACCCACAATCCCGAATCCCAGGAAAACCAGCTGGGTCTGTTCTCACAGGAGCCACAGCACAGAGATTAGGTAAGGCATTAAGCCCCAGACCTGGGATAGAAGGGGCTGTAGTGGGATAGCACCTGAGGGAGGGCTGAACGGAAGTTAAGTGCCCAGTAACTGGGAAGGTGTGATCTGAGTCATTTTTCAGGAAACTGTAATAAGTCTGATGGTAATGAACACAAATGTCTCCAGTAGGCAGGAGAGTGACATCATTGGCTGAACAGAGAAGGTGAGTCCAGGAAGGAGAGGTGGACTCAGGAAGACCCCTGAGCCTAGTGCCCTTTTCAACACTGGCAGCTGCTGCCCATCTCCAGCTGACCCATTGCAGTAGAGGAGACTCCCTACACCAGCCAACATTATGGGAGTTTTTAAGATGAGACAGGAATGCAAATTCCTCCTGTGAAATGGGCCCTACCAGCTCTACTTGTTGAGTACTAGCCCTGCCTTGATGGAACTTGGTCTTTCGGTACCCTACTAAAACACAGTGACCAAACCCATGGACATTTAGCAGGCAGTGTATAGTTTTTATTCACTGAGACCAGATCCAGCCTGCAAAAGTCCTTCATGGATAATGTGGAATTAGATTTCTTATAGCAGAAGCAGCAGTAGTGCTGTCCTTCAGACCCATTGGTCAGTCAAGAGGCTGGATGCACACGTGGGCCTAGTACCAATATGTGGGTGTCTGCACGGCCAAGACATTAGAAACTTCCTGGCTCTGGCAGCCCCACACAGGAGCTGCTATGTATCTACAGGCCCATACAGGAGCACCCACAGTTTCCGAACCCAAGAACAGACAATCAGCTGGGTTTGTTACACAAGAGCCACAGTACAGAGAGTGGGTAAGACATTGAGCCCTAGAGCTGGGACCAGAGGGCCAGCAGTGGAACCTAAGGGAAGCTGAAATAAAATTAATACCCAGGAACTTGAACACATTAATGATGGGAGCAAATGGAAATATGACCCCACAATGAGGTCCTATAAGACCTATAGGACCTCAGAGAGATCCTGTAAGCTAAGACAGGAAAAGAATATGGTCACTGAGTTAGGATGCAGGACTAGTTATTTCTTTTCTTTGTTCACAGGAAACATGGCTCCAAAACTTTGGCTCCTGCTGCTGCTGGGGTTCATGGGAATAATTATCTCATTTCAGGCCCCACCAGGTCATTTAACCTGGGCTCAGTGGTTTGAAATCCAGCACTTAATTATGGCCCACCCCCGATGTGATGATGCAATGCGGGTAGTTAACAGATACAGAAGGCAATGCAAATCCAAAAATACATTTCTACATACAAGTTTTGCCTCTGTTGCTCAAGTTTGTGAAACCCCAAATATAACCTGCCTTACAAGCCCCAGTACAAATTGTCATAACAGTTCAGTTCAGGTGCCTTTGGTTGACTGTAACATCACCAGAAAAACAAAGGATTATATGAACTGCAGATATCAAAATGTACCAGCAACCAAGTTCTACGTAGTTGCTTGTGCCAATAGATCTGTGCAAGACAATACCACATATCCACTTGTTCCGGTTCACTTGGATGGGACATATTAGCTCCTGGATCAGCACTTTGTGATGTGGCTCATCCGCCAGCTCCCAAGCCCTCTGTCCACCCTGGATGTCATCACCTGTCCTCAAGGAACCAGTCCCCAGCCCCGTTCAAGCTTAGCTCAACTGAAGCACCCTGTGAGCTGTGCAATAAACCTCTTTGAAAACAAATCTAGATCTCTGTGTATCTATCTCTTACATATGTGCTCCTTCCTCTTCCTGAGATTTTGGGGAAGAGAGATGTGGGGCAAAGACACTGTATCAGGAAGCTGCAGAGACTTGGCCCCCTCACTACCTCAGGCTGGGAAACTGGGATCTTCACTGAATCTGCCTACTGACAAAGGCCCTCTTCCATAGCAAATTTCTCTCAAGCTGCTCTGAACCGTCAGCATACTAAGCCCTAACCTTGGCCTGCGGAGTTACTCATTATACACTCCAATTTTTTGTTTTTCACTCCAATTTGTCTTTTTCTTTTTTAACTGATACATAATAATTGTACTTTTTAAAACTGTTTTTCATTGCCTAGGAAAGAAAGTCCAAATGATCTAGTCTGACATGAGAAGCCTGAGGCTGAGCATTCTTGTGAGTGAAGCAGAGATCAGCTACAAATCAATCTTAGCCAAATTCCACTAGATCCTCAGCATGATGTTGCCCTCTTGGCAGGCTGCTCCAGTCACTTCAGTCACCCCCACACTCTATCAGAGGCACACCAGACATATTCAATGCCTTAGAACTCTGAAGATTGATCTTGTGACCCCAGAGACACTGGGATGATGAGTTGGTATTAACAGTCACTGAGCAGCTTTATGAAACTCAGTCACAGGGAAAGCACTTCTGCATTTGTGGTTTAGAAAAGAAAAACTGTTTGAAAGGATGTCAGTGATTGAGTAATGACTCAATGTCCATTGCTCAGGAGTTCCTGGGGAAAACTGAAGCCTCAGGAAGGACTTCGGTTGCCATGAGGTAGCCTTGTGTTCCTCAGGGATGGGACTGGGCTTTCAAGCCAGGCAGACCTGCTGTCCAGTCTAAGCTTGGTAGTGGGAGCAACTTAATTGAGTTCTGTGGAGACTTCTCTGATGTCCTAAAGTAGGCAGCTCCTCTTGTTTTATTCTGTCATATAATGTTATGTTGTCATCTGTGAGATTGACAATAATCTGTGGTTAAGCCAGCAGCGTGGGTCTCTCCCACTAATCTCAAATCCCATTAAGAGCACAGAGTGTATGCAGTCTTCTTCACTATAGCCTTTGTGTTAGCTGTTTTTGCTGTAGGAATGGATGTCCATGAGAATGGATGAGGTCCTTCCAGTCATTCCTACTTAAGTTTTTGTCAGTAGTTTAGACTTTTTTCTCTTCTATTCTTTCTATTATAGTATAGCTGAAGTTTGAGTGTAATTTTTGTGTGAAGCAAGGTATGTTCTTTCTTTGCTCAGTTTAGTTCAGCAACAAAGTCTCTACTGTGTGAACTTGTAGTTTCCCGGTAGATTTTTCAGCACCTTACAGCAAATGGAGAAAGAAACAATAGCAACAACCAAAGCAAACAGTATACGGCATTAAAATAAGTACACAGTGCCTACTATGACATCTACAACACTAATTGCCGCAGAACCACAAATGGAGGGGTCAGCAATTGCCAACAGTAAAAACAATAAATAGCTGTGAATCAGATCTGGCATGAAAGTAAAGAACCCGTTTTGGCAGTTTGCAGTATGGATTACTGCAACAGCATAAATGGTGAGGGCAGAAGTTTTATAAGCCAAATAGTTATAAAAAATAGTCAAAATACAGTCCCAAGAAAAAAAAAATGTGATAGAAAGGTAAAGTTTCAAATGTTCAAAGTGTGAACAGAGAATGCAGAAGAAATGTAGCAAATGATAGTTATAAGAAGGAGAAAAATAGAAAAGATGAAGTAAAGTGAGACAGGAAGAGAGAAAAAGAGAATTTTGCTATTAATGGGAGAAGAAAGAATAGAAAGAGGAATGAGGGAAACAAAAAACAAAAGTAAGAAAAAAACCAAAAGTCTTAACTTTCAAAAAACAAGGAAAAATAACTTGTTTTTAAAATTATCTGGGCCTGGTGGTATAGGCGTGTAATTCCAATGACTTGGGAGGCTGAGGCAGGAGGATGAGTTCAAAGCCAGCCTCAGCAATTTATCGAGACCCTAAGCAACTCAGTGAGAGCCTGTCTTAAATAAGATACAAACAAGGGGTGGGGATGTGGCTCAGTATATGTAGCCATGAGCCAACCAGCACAGCAATAACGCCAAAGAAAAAAAGGGGTGGGGGGGAATTTTCTTACTAAAAAATACTGTCTCCACTAAAAGTATTTTTCTCCTCTTGAAAAGCGTTGACAAGAATCAATACCCAACAGTCGTTCTTTCAATTTGTTCTTGATCTATGAACTGAGAGAAAGAGAGGGTGTGCAAGGGCTGGAGGTTGTTAATCTCTTCCTCTTTTTGTGTTACTCACTGAGCTGCCAGCTGGTGTGGTCTAAAACTGAAGCAGGTGAAATAGCTCAGAGTCCCTTCTCACCGGTATAAGGCAGAATGGAATAGGAAATATTGTTGATTGGAGTTTTGTCCAGACAGACCAGATCTATACACCACCAAAGCGGGGCTGCTACAGAATGGAGTTTCAGCAGCTGGGGCTTAGTGTATCTGGATTCAAGGGCTTTGTTGGGTGATATCTGCTCTGGAGATATTAGATCAACATCACCACAGGACCCAGCAGTTGCTGATCTCTGTCAGGAGTCTGAATCTCAACAGCCTCCCAAGAATTATACTTGCAGGGCAAGGGAGCCAACCCACACACTCTGCTGCCCACAAATATGGCCTCTTAGACTTGGTTCCTGAGTGTATATTCACACCCATCTGTTCAATTTTCCAGCCCCCTTCAGCTGATCATCCACGCAAAGGGAGTTACACTCCCCTCCATATTTCGGATTTGAATTCCCCTTAGTACACTTCCCTGTGCCTGTTTCACTCATGTTCTGCTAGGTACATCCTCCACCACAAGGTAGGAGCTTTCCAGGACAGTATGGCAATGTTTGCTATAATCTCTTGGGTTCCCATAGCAGCAAACTACAATGTGGCGTCCTCAACATGGCTCTGTGGCTCAGCTCTCCACTTGCCAGTTGAGAAAAGCAGAGCACTTAAACACCAATTTGCTGTGCACTCTCTGGATCAGCTAAGTTCAGGCTGCTTTTCTGATCTACAGACTTTTCTATTCCAAATTGGTCCATTGTGTCTCTCTTTGTGTTAGCCCTCCCTTCCCTGGATAACCAGTGCCACTGCCACTGCCACTGCCATAACTAGCTTGGCTCCAATGTTTTCTTTCTTGTTCTTAGTTCAGTGCACCTGAATTCTTGAGTCTCTAGGAGATTCTGACTATTCAATATTGAATTTCACTAAATTTCAACTTTCACCCACCTTGCTAAGAATCAGTACTCCTGCTGCTTGAATCCTGATTCATGGAGTAACTGAAAATGCAGCCTTCCTCTAATCTGCCATCAGGAAAGTGCTTCTAGAATCTAATTCCTGGGGCTTGAGAGGTCAAGGAAGATTTCTCTGGGTGTGGGGAGGGGGGCAAAACGTCCACTTATTTTTGCCCTCTTCTTGAAAGCTTTGGGTTTAGGAAACTGGACACATCATGTTCATTTAATTAACATTATTTAAATGAATGAGCATACATAGAACGTTTAGAGTCCAAATATCATTTTATACACCTTTATCTCCATACTCTTCATAGCTATCTGTCCCCCTCTTCCTTCCTATCCTGGCTTCTTTCTCAGCAGTTATTCATTCCCAATCCCATACCCTTCTTTCTCTCTGTGGAAATTATTCTTCTAGCTGCTCATGGAATTGGGGTATAGAGAAATATTCAAGTGTGATTGAGTATCTATTCCCAATTCAAGAATTCCTTTATTGGTCTCCAGCTGAAATTTTTAAGACCACAGTGTTTAAGAACAATAAGAAGGGAACTGGGCCAGGCTCAGTGGCACATGCCTGTAATCCCAGCAGCTCAGGAGGCTGAGGCAGGAGGATCGCAAGTCCAAATCCAGCCTCAGTAACTTAACGAGGCCTAAGCAACTCAGCAAGACCCTATCTCTAAATAAAATATTTAAAAAGTCTGGGGATGTGGTTCAGTGATTCAATCTCTGGTACCAAAAAGGGGGTGGGGTGGGGTGCTGAGATGTTGAGTGAACACAATGTAGGGTTATTCCAAAGCTTCTTTTCCTCCCAGAATTCTAGACCTAACAATACAGAATGAATACCTATGAGACATATCCTGAAGTTCTACAAGCAACTTGTCATCCCAGAGTCACAGGTGGAGGGAAAACACAGGGGGTCATTCATGACAGACTCTTTTCAAATGGTAACTTGCAACTTGTTTAGAATTTTTCTCAGTGCTGTCCTTCCCAATGACTGTTTTCTAAGATCTGCAGAAAGAATTGCTTTTCACCCTCCTTGGTGTTCCAGGACCAAAACTTGATAATAAGGATGATGCTAATGTCCATATACAAGGTTATATATGAACTCCCATTACTGGGAAAACGCTGCTTTGTTCTACTGGTTTTGACGGTTTCTGCTGAAAAACTGTACACTTTTTTGGAGCCAAGAACAAACATCCAAGTCTTCCTAAAACTTGATGTTGTGGCCCACCTGCTCTGTGGGTCAGGCGTTAGGGCTGAAGAATCAATGTATCAGCATAAAGGAATGTGTACGAGTTGTATAGTCATATCTATATCTTCTATGAAAAGATCCAAAGGAACTGGTAATAGCGGTGGTTTGGGGGCAGTCAAACTGGAGGACCAGGATACAGAGTTTGTGTAGGCAAAAGTTAGGGGTTCCAGAGGCTTCGCTGAAATTTTAAAGGAAAGCCTGAGAGGCTGGAAAGGTGTGGCAGGATTGGAATCTCTGCAAACAGTCCCCAACAAGGCAATGCCTGAAGCTTTGAGAGTAAAGCCAAAGTCTCAGCAAACACCCCAGGACTATGGAGATGCCAGGAACACAAGCCAAGGGAAAATGGAAGCAGTCAGCAAAGCCAGCTGAGAGAGCCCATGTGGGCTGTAATCAATGAGACCATAGGGGCTGAGCTGCCCATGCCCCGCAGAGCTCACAACACCACTCCATGTGACCCAAAAGGCAGGCATGGAGCTACAGAATTCAAAGCCCTGCTGGGTTTTGGTCTTGCTTTGGTCCAATTCCTTCTTGATATTTTCTTCCTTTTGGAGATGGGAATGTTCACCCTGTGCCATTGTATCTTGGATGTGAGTAATTTATTCTTTTATTTTTGCAGAGACTCACAGCTAAGGGTTTGCTAATAAAATTTAAAAGAGCATTATGTTATTATGTTAAAGACAAAAATTACATTGAAGTGGGAGTGTTGCTCATTGACAGAGCATTTGCCTCTCATGAATGAGGACTTGGATTCTATCCATAGCAAAACACACACACACACACACACACACACACCACACACAAAAAAACACACACACACACTGGAGTTATGGTGTGTTTGACTAATGTAGGCTCACTATGTTAGCTTTTGGTTGCTGTGACCAAAATACCTGACAAGAACAACTTGGGGAAGGAAAAGTTTGTTTCGGCTCAGTTTCAGAGAATTCTGTCCATGGTCCACAGGCTCCAAGGCAGAAGCATTGTGATAGAAGGACATGGTGGAGAAAAGATGCTCAGCTCACTGGGTAACCAGGAAGCTGACAGAGAGACAGAGATAGAGATGCTTCCAGATCATACCTTTATACCCCTAATTCCTCCAACTAGGTCCCACCAGTATTCCCTTCAGCTTTCAATTGTGAGGCTGAGCTTTCGTGATCTTACCATTGCATAAAAATCCCATCTGTGAATGAAATGTAATCCATTAGGGAACATGCTTTTAACACATGGGCTTTGAGGGGGAAATTCCAAATCAAACCATAACACATATTTATTCAGACTTCATAGGTAAAGAGTTCCTATTTAGAAAATCTTCAACATAAAACTGGAGCAAAATGAGGGTAGTAGGACATGTGCAGAGCAAATTTATACATGGAACAATTATAAAAATATTATGAGGCATATTTTGAATATAATTTTAAAGTTTGGGTATATAATGGTTTGGATCTGGAATGTCCCCAAAATCTCATGTGTTGAAGGCTCGGTCCCCAATGCATCAATGTTCAAAGGTGGGGCTTTTGGTAAGTAATTGGATCATGAGGGCTCTGACATCATCAGGGGATTAATCCATTGTTACCAGAAAGAACTGCTGGCATGAGGAAGAAACATAGAGTAAAGTTGGAGGATGTAAGTCACTGGGGGCATGCCTTGGATAGGTATTTCTTGTCCTCAGTGTTTCTCTCTTTACCTCTCCCCCCACCCTCTTCCTGGCTGGTATGGGCTGAGCAACTTTCCTCCATCATGCCATTCTGCCATGATGTTCTGCCACTCAAAGACCTGAACCAATGAAGTCAGCCATGAACTGAAATCTCTGAAACCATGAGCCAAAGCAAATCTTTCCTCCCTAAGTTGTTTATCTCAGGTATTTGTCACAGTGGGGAAAAAACAAACAAACAAAAAAAAAGAAAACTAACACAGAGTGTAAACTAAGAAGGCCATGCTCTGAGTCATTGTTGTTTTGTTTTGTTTTGTTTTGTTTTTTTCAGGAAACTATAATGATTTTCATTGTCAAACACACAAATGTCTCCAGGAACCAGAAGAGTGACATCATTGGCTAAACAAGAGAAGGAGAGTCAGGAAGGAAAGATAGATTCAGGAAGACCCCTGAGCCCTTTCAACACAGGCAGCTGTTACCCAGCTCTAGCTGACACATTGCAGTAGAGAAAACTCCTTGCACCAGCCAACATTATGGGAGTTTTTAAGATGAGACAAGAATGCAAATTCCTCCTGTAAAATGGACCCTACCTAGCTCTACTTGTTGAGTACTAGCCCTGTCTTGGTGGAACTTGGTCTTTCAGTACTCTACTGAAGCGCAGTGACAAAATCTGTGGTTATTCAGCAGGCAGTGTAATTGTCAAACACAGGACCAGATCCAGCCAGCAAAAGTCCTTCATGGATGACATGGAATTAGATTCCATATAGCAGAAGCAGAAGCACTACTATCCTTGGGTATCCATTAATAGACCAAGTGATCAAAACAGAGAGTGGTTGCTCAAGTGTGATGTGTACCACTGTGTGGATTTTCTGCAGGGCCAAGACGTCAGAACCCTCCTGGCTCCTGCAGCCTCACCCATATGGGCTGCTGTATATTTACCATCCAAATAGGAGCACCTACAGCCCCTGAGCCTCAGTTCAACCAGCTGGTTCTGTTCTCACGGGAGCCGCAGCACAAAGACTAGGTAAGACATTGAGCCCTCAAACTGGGACAGCAGGTCCCACGGTGGGATAGCACCTGAGGGAGGATGAGCTGAAGTTAGTGTCCAGGAGACTTGGCACACTGTGGGGACGGGAAGCAAATGGTAATATGACCCCACAGTGACTGCAGAGGGGGCTGCTGGTTGAGACAGAAAGAGTATGTGGTAACTGGGCCAGGATGCAGAACTAGTTACCTCTCTTCTTTGCTCACAGGAAACATGGTTCCAAAGCTGCTGGGATCACGACTTTGGTTTCTGCTCCTGCTGGGATTTGTGAGAATGAGTGTCTCATTTGAAGACCCACCAGGTGATTTAACCCCTGCTCAGTGGTTTGAAATTCAACACATAAATATGGCTGGCCCCAAATGTGATGATGCAATGCAGATAGTTAACAGTTACATTGGGCAATGCAAAGCCAAAAATACTTTTCTAAAAGCAACTTTTGCTGATGTTGTTCAAGTTTGTGGAACCCCAAATGTAACCTGTCTTACAAGCCCCAGTACAAATTGTCATAAAAGTTCAGTTCAGGTGCCTTTAACCATCTGTAGCATCACAAAAAGTAAATTGAGTTATGGAAACTGCAAATACACAGATGTATCAGCAATGGAGTTCTACGTAGTTGCTTGTGACAAGAGATCTCCACGGGACAATACCACATATCCAGTGGTTCCGGTTCACTTGGATGGGACATATTAGCTCCTGGATCAGCACTTTGTGGCATGGCTCATCTACCAGCTCCCAAGCCCTCTGTCAACCCTGGATATCAGCTCCTGTCCTCATGCAACCAGTCCCCAGCTCCCTTCAAGCTTTGCTGAGCTGAAGCACCCTGTGAGCTGTGCAATAAACCTCTTTGCAGACAATCTAGATCTCTGTGTATCTGTTTCTGCTCCTCTGCTGTCATTTACTCACAATCTGTCCTACAGACATGTTCCTTTCTCTTCCTGAGATTTTATAGAGAGATGTTAGGCAGAGACTCCTTATCAAGAAGCTGCAGAGACTTGGCCCCCTCACTGCCTCAGGCTGGGAAACTGGGGTATCTACTGAATCTGCCAACTGACAAAGGCCCTCCTCAAGAGCAAAGTTTTCTCAGCCTGCTCTGAACCCTCTGCAGACTGGGCCCTAACCTTGGCGTGTAGAGGCATTCATTGTACAGTTCAATGGGTTTGTTGGGCTTTTTTATTATGTTTTTAATTGATATAATAATTGCATGTATTAAAGGGTACAGTGAGATTTTTCCAGACATGTATAAAAAGTGTAATGATCAGTCGGGGTAATTGGCATTCCCAGAACCTCAAGCACTTTATTTACCTTCTGGAGGGAGCATTCAAAATCTTCTCTGCCAGCTACTTTGAAACATACATTTTGTATTTTGGTTAACTATGGTCATCCTGCTGTGCTATAGAACACTTGAACATGTTCCTCCTGTCTACCTTTAGATAACTGTGATCCAACCTCTCTCTATCCCCATTCTCTCTAGCCTCTGGGGACTCTGTTCTACTCTCTACTTCTATGAGATCAACTTTTTAGATAACACTCAGGAGTGAGATCAGGATGTATTTGTCTTTCTATGCCTGGTGTACTCCACATAACATAACAACATCCAGTTCCATACATTTTGTTGCAAATGACAGAATTTCATTGAATTTTGTGGCTAACTAGTATTCCATTGTGCTTATGCTCCACACCTTTATCCAATTATTAGGTGATGGACACTCGAGGAGTTTCCATTTCATGGTCCTTGTGAACAATCCTGCAATGAAGGTAGGACTACAGATGTCACTGTTATATACTGATTTCCTTGCTTTAGACATATACCCAGAGGAGGCATTGCTGGGTCACATGGAAGATTTTGTTGTTGTTGTTTTGTTTTGTTTTGGGTTTTTGTTTGAGTACATGTGGTACTGGTGATTGAACCCAATGGTGCTTCACTTCAGAGATATTACCCAGCCCTTTTTATTTTAGTTTAATTTATTTTTAGTTTATTTACTTATTTATGTATCTATTGCACTAGGGTAATCTAGAGGAACAGAATTAACAGGAGGTATGACTATAAAAAGGGAACTTATTAGGTTGGCTTATGAGACCAGAAACTGGATAGTCCACAATGGCCATCTGCAGGCTGGAGAGCTAGAAGAACTAGTAGCTGTGCAACCCCAGAGGTGGAAGCCCCAGAGCAAGAGGGATTGACAGTGCTACCTAGTCTGAGACCAAAGGCTTCTGGAAACTCCCTGGAGAACCACTGGCAGAGTCCACTTTGGAAGAGAGAAGAGTTTGATATCCTCAGACAATCAAAGCAACAATCATGAGCCTGGTCAAGAAGAATTGAGCTGGCTTCTGCTACTGCTTTCTTGTTCTTCCAACTTTTATTCTATCCAAGTCACCATCCTATTGGACAGTGCTGCCCATACTTGGCTATCCCACATACCAATCATTCCTAGAAACACTCTCATTGACACACCCAGAAGCCTGTTAATCATCAGCATCTCTTAATTCAATCAAGTTGACAATCCAAATTAACCATTACATCTATCTTGAGTTAGGGTCTCACTACGTTACCCAGGCTGGGCTCAAATTTTCAATCCTCCTGCCTCAGACTTCAGAGTTGCTGGGATTACCAACATGAGCCACCTGGAAGTTCTATTTTTCACTTTTTGAGAAAACTCTTTGCTGTTTTCTACTAATTGCACTAACTTGAACTCCCACTAATAGTGGGCAAGGGTTCCCTTTTCACCACATCCTGGTTCTTTTGTCGTTTTGATGATAGCCATTTTAACCAGGATTAGATGACATCTTGTTTTGGTTTTGTTTCACATTGAAGTTGAGCATATTTTTAATAGGCTTGCTTTCCAGCAATTTGTATATATTCTTTTGAGAAAGTCTATTTAGATCATCAGCCTATTTTTTAATCTGATGGTGAGTTCTTCTGCTGTTCAGTTTTTTGAGTTTCTTGTATATTCTGCACATTAATCCTTTGTCAGATACATAATTTGCAAATATTTTCTCTCACTCTGTAGGTTGTCTCTTCACCCTGTCAACTATTTCCTTTGCTGTGGAGAAGCCATTTAATTTTTTATAATACTATTTGTCTGCTTTTCCTTTGATCACCTATTTGGGGAACTTCTGCAAAGAATTTTTGCCCATTGCAATGTTTTAGAATGCTTAACAAAATTCCACCTAAAGTGCTTTGACAAACCTTTGTGTAAATGTCTGGTCACATTTTGTTTTATCTTAAAAGGGTTTATCTTATTCAGCGCCTAGCTATAGACTATTGTCTCTTGGATCTTACAACCACTTTGGAGCAGGGAAGACAATATGGTGATAGCAAAAACATCCCAAGCACTGCACATTGTCTCCTGCCTACCTACTCATTCCTTCCCACCCCTGCCTGCATCCTGTAGACATGTGATTTTGTGGAATGTGGAACATCTCCTCCAAGGGGTCTAGAACATGCCATACCCAATTCCCAACACCCTTCTTGCCACTGAGTGGGGTTCAGCACACACTGCTAAGAGAATTTCCCAATCATTCTCTTAGTAACTTCTCTCAACAATTTTTTTAACTGCCTTCCATTGCCTAGGAAAGAAAGTCCAAATGATCTAGTCTGACATGAGAGGCCTGAGGCTGAGCATTCTTGTGAGTGAAGCAGAGATCAGCTACAAATCAATCTTAGCCAAATTCCACTAGATCCTCAGCATGAAGTTGCCCTCTTGGCAGGCTGCTCCAGTCACTTCAGTCACCCCCACACCCTATCAGAGGCACACCAGACATATTCAATGCCTTAGAACTCTGAAGATTGATCTTGTGACCCCAGGGACACTGGTATTAACAGTAGCTGAGCAGCTTTATGAAACTCAGACACAGGGAAAGCACTTCTGCATTTGTGGTTAAAGGATGTCAGTGATTGAGTAATGACTCAATGTCCATTGCTCAGGAGTTCCTGGGGAAAACTGAAGCATTAGGAAGGACTTTGGTTGCCATGTGTTCCTCAGGAATGGGACTGGGCTTTCAAGCCAGGCAGATCTGCTGTCCAGTCTAAGCTTGGTAGTGGGAGCAACTTACTTGAACTCTGTGGAGACTTCTCTGATACCTTAAAGTAGGGCAGCTCCTCTTGTTTTTTTCTGTCATATAATGTTATGCTGTCACCTGTGAGATTGACACTTGTGGGGACAAGTGCATGGAGTACTGCCTACGTGCCACACATTAAGGGTGCCTGAGTAGCAGGTTACTCCCCTCATGCTAGGCAAATGAGTGGCAGGCTGCTCACCAATAGGCACAGCGCCCCAGCGTGAGGCCACATTTGCAGTCGCAGCACTTGCTCCACAGTCGGCTCCTCAATTGGTTGCCGCAAGGACAATTGGCCAGAAATTGTATTGGTGGCTGCCTATAATCTGCTTAGCTATTACCCAAGGTATATATCCATAGTAACTGTGCAATAAAATCAGACCTGCTTCCAGCTTGGTCTCTGGAGGTCTTGATTTGTGACTCCACAGCCACACTCTCCTCTACCCTGTTCCATGGACCTCCTCGCGGGACAAGAGAGAGCCCACGCATACAGTAATCCGTGGTTATGTAAAAAACATGTCTCTCCCACGACTCTGCAAATCCCACTAAGAACACAGAGTGTGGGGCTGAGACTGGCGCTCAGTGGTCGAGTGCTTGCCTAGCGTGTGTGAGGCACTGGGTTCTATTTTCTGTCACAGGGAAAGCACTTCTGCATTTGTGGTTTAGAAAATAATTTCTTAAGTAGCAAGTACCTGAGCCAGGCACTGTTAGAAAGAGGTGTCAAAGAATATAGGAGGAGAAAGGGAAGGGAAGGGAAAGGAAGATTAAGGAAGGAAGGAAGAGAGAAAGAGAAAGAAAGAAGGAAGGAAGGAAATAAAGAAAATAGGTGGGTAGGTAAGGAGAAAAAGGCAAAAGATTTTCCTGCTTTTACAAAGGTCGTTTTCCATTGAATACCTACAGACATTAAATATAATGCATATGTAAATTATACAGACTGTTAAGGAGATAAGTACAAGAAAGAGAATGGGGAAAGATATGGCTAACAACTTAAAATAGGGAAGTCAAGGCAAGCCTCCTTGATAAGCTGTTATCAGTCTGTTTTCTGTTGCTAATAATAAAATACCACAGACCGGATAAATTTTAAAGAACTGAGTTCTGTTTGGGGTTCACAGTCCTAGTCAGAGGTCAGAAGGCTGCAGCTGGTGATAGCCTTCTTTCTGGCAGAGTCCCAAGGTGGCACCAGGCACCACATGGCAAGATAGGGTGTGTGCCTGCATATGTTGTCTTTCTGGTCTCTCTCCCTCTTTTTATGAAGCTATCAGAATCTAATAATCTTGGAGTCTCCACCCTGGTGAATTTATCTAATGCTAATCACACTTTAAAAGCTCCACCTTTAAGCACCATAGTTGGATTAAGTTTCCATCTTCGTAACACTTCGCAATGGAGATTAAATTTTAACATATGAAGTTTTGGAAGATACTCAAATTATATCCAAAACGTAGCATGAGGTGACACTGAAGCAGAGACTCAAAGATGGGATGGTAGTTAGCCAGGTACATATCTAGGCAGAAAGGTTTTAAAGGAAGAATGTGCCTAGGATACATTTCAGGATCAGCAGGGAGGTCAGATGTTAGAGTGAGTGAGAGGGAGAGCAGTAGATTTGTTTGGAAGTTAAGAGTGTAGGAGGACAGATCACTGAAAAGCACATGGACTTTTGTAGTTTTTAACTTAGTGTGAAAAGAAGGCACAGTA